GTTCTTCTGGCAGTCCATGGTATGTTCAATATTCTTCACCAACACCATAATTCAAGTAATAGCACACCAGTTTCCTCTTGGATGCCACGTAGGTGGACTACAATCAAAGTCCCATACCCTTCCTTAGCCAAAGTTGTGATTTACCTTGTCTAATATGTCTCTATCTCTCTCTCCCTGTCTTTCTCATTAATTTCTTCTTCTGGTCTTTACTGAAGTTTTATTTTTTCCCAAATAAATTACATCATATCCTTTCATTTTATATATATATATATATTTGCTTATATTAGCAAAGTGCAGTTTCTGTTGCAAGCAACAAAACTGTAAGTGATAAGATTTTTTTTTCTTCTACCTGCTCATCAAAAATCAAGCAAAAATAAAGAACAAGTTGCGGAATATATTCTGGGTTTTTTAGACGAGTTCTACTCTCATGTGACTTTATTCTCTTGAAAATGATTCATTTAATATGTAACTAGTTTGTTTCGCTTATACCTCATAAAACTTTTCCTAGACATGATTTCAAAAGTCTGAAAAGTTCTTTGTTCAGTACATATGCCCCGATTTTGGGTTTTTAAAACATGGTCCCCAGAGCTTTATGTCACTTTGGGCTCACAAATAAATAAGGTATGCAGGAGAGGCCAGGATCACAAATTAGATAAGCTGATGACTGTATTTAGTGCTACACATCTAGGCGGATAAGAGAGAGGTAGAGAAGTATCAGTCTCAAGGAACATTGTTGTTGTTAGTTGCCATCAAGTTGGCTCTAACTCACACAACCTTATGTATAACAGAACAAAATGTTGCCCAGTTCTGTGCCATCTTCATGATTATTGGTATGTTTGAGTCCGTTGCTGTGGCTATTGTGTCAATCTATCTCTATGAGGGTTTCCCTCATTTTTGCTGACCCTCTGCTTTATCAAACATGATGTCCTTTTCTAGCAATTGATCTTTTCTGATGACATGTCCAAAGTAAGTGAGACGAAGTCTCGCCATCTTTGGTTCAAATGTTTTGGTTGTATTTCTTCTAAGACTGATTTATTCAGACCACGGTATATTCAGTATTCTTTGCCAAGACCACAGTCAGAATACATTAATTCTTCTTCTGTCTTCCTTTTTCACTGTCTAGGTTTTGTATGCAAAATCTATTTAAAAAACCATAACTTGGGTCTTTAAATATCTTGCTTTTTAAAACTTCAGAGAGGCCTTTTGCATCAGGTTTACCCAATGTGATATAGTGTTTGATTTCTTGATTGCTACTTTCATGGACGTTGATTGTTGATCCAAGTAGAATGAAATTGTTGACAACTTCAATTTTTTTCCCATGTATTAAGATGTTGTTTATCAGTCCACAAGGGATATTAATAATCATATAAAGATCTGATATTAGCACAAATCTAGAAATGAACTGCAATAGAACAAATTCCTGTCTTCTACACTTCCGGCAATTTCTTTCTAGGGCCTTTTAGAAAGCTGGGAGCCCTGGTGGCACAGTGGTTAAGAGCTATGGTGAGCTATAGCTGTTAACCAAAAGGTCAGCAGTTCAAATCTACCAGCCTCTCCTTGGAAACCCTATGGGGCAGTTCTACTCTGTCGTATAGGGTTGCTATGAGTTGGAATCGACTCGACTCGACAGCAATGTGTTTGGTTTTTTGGTTTTAGAAAGCTTACACCTAGGGCATTTTCTGACCCTTTGATAATAACAAAACAGAACAATATTAACAAAAACTCATATCCATTGATATGTATTCATTACATAACATTTATTTTTCAGAGTAAAGACTTATCAGAAATTGGAATATACAATATAAGATAAGGGCCCTAGAAAAAAAGTCATCAGAAACTCTCCTGTGCCTATTTGATTGTGTGCTAATAGTAGCAGAAGGAGACTATGGGAAAATTTTGAACTAGGGCATTGCCTGATTTGAATGGTGTATGGAACTTACGTGACCAATAAAATACTTAAAAGCCTCCTAGTAAAAGGTTTGCTTCCTCCCATATTCTGTTACGTCACCCTAAGACATTTAAAGAGCCATGACAAGTTAAATGTCGAAATAGGTTCTAGTTTCTATAACAGGCACTGTCAATATAATCAGAAAAAAAAAATGGGTTCCAAACTCCCAAAGTCAAGTTGAAGTCAAGAAGTCAGGACTGGAAGACAAGGTTTGTGAGTTTGATTCAGACTCAGATAGACCTGAGTTCCAATTTTAACTTCAATTGAATT